CTGCTTTATAACATGTATATTTGAATTTATATAAACAGTCTAGTGAAATATATATATTATATTACCAAAAGTGATAGGTATTAATACTTCTGTCATTCTTTAGGTTGAACAAATACAGTTTGTTTTCGTAGTCCTACCCCAAGAGTAGTATTACGGAACACACTGAAGCAGTTCTGAGGTAGAGCCAGCTAGGCCAAAACAGTGGTTGTCCAAGAGGACCATGATGTTAAACATCATGTGACCATATCATTTCTTCTTGTGGTAAATAAAATACAAGCTTTTTAAACTCCTGTTTAGATACCAGGGGATGTAGTGAGAAGAATTTTAGATTAAACCACCACCCTTGTCAACCATCCTTGGCACCGCCTTCATTAGGAACAGTGTGGTTGTCCTTTGCAGTTTTAAGAAAATTGTTGGGTTTCTCATCTAATTGTAGTGCCTCTGATCTTTCACTCATAGATAACAAAGCTGCAGCTCTTTTGATGCTGACCAAGAATGTGGACTTTGTGAAGGATGCATATGAAGAAATGGAGCGGGTCAGGGGAACTTCATCGTTGGAAGGCAACTCTTTGACTAGTAGATGATAGTTGATTATAAAGAGAGATTCCCTAAGCATTGACCAGATAGATCTTATTCTCACTACTGTCCTCTGTCTTCCATCTGTCCCTCCTTGTTAGTGTGTGATTTAGTACCACTCCTCTCTGTTCCCTTACTGGACAAGGAGAGCGAAAACAGGGTTTGTGAAGTAATTCAACTCTGTAGCCATTAGTGAAGTGGCTGGCTAAGGTTTTTGGACAACTAAGGCATGGTGCTAAAAGTATAATAGGCCCCTTTTTTATTCATTTTCTTTTTTTGCATGTACATCATGGTATGTCTTAGGCTGTGGAAGAATGCGACCCTTACTCTGGCCTCTTGAATGATACTGAGGAGAACAACTCCGACAACCACAATGATGAGGATGATGTGTTGGGGTTTCCAAGCAATCAGGACTTGTATTGGTCAGAGGATGATCAAGAACTCATAATCCCATGCCTTGCACTGGTGAGAGCATCCAAAGCCTGCCTGAAGAAAATCCGGATCTTAGTGGCAGAGAATGGGAAGAAGGATCAGGTTGCACAGCTGGATGACATTGTGGATATTTCTGATGAAATCAGCCCTAGGTGAGTGTGAGCCCCACTTGAAACATCTGAGCAGCAGCATTCTGATCTCATTTTGTGCTGTCACCCCAAGGATTCTTCCCAGTTTATTTATATTTTGAAAGTTTTCAAACATATAGGAAAGTTTAAAAAGTACTTCAGTGAACACCCCTACATCCTTCTATTAGATTTGCCTGTTGTTCACATTTTTTCCTATATTGGTTTATTTCTCAAAAGATAGATGTTTCATGTTTATTCCAGAATGTTTTGAGAGTAAATTGCAGAAAGCAATGACATTCACTCATAAATACTTAGGTATGTATCTCCTGAAGTACTTTTATTCCTGCTCTTATTGTCACTTCCAAGAAATTTGACATTGAATGTAATAATATTATCTAATATTCAGATTTGTCCAGTTGTCTCTATCTAAAATGTCATCTAAATTCAGGGTTCTGTCAAGGTCTCACATTACATTTAATTGTCATCTCTTTCATCTCTTGAAAGCTAGAACAGTTCCTATCCTTTGTAGTCTTTTTAAATCAACATTTTAAAAAGAAACCAGGTCAGTTGTCTTGTAAAATATCCAACAATCTGGATTCATGTGATTGTTTTTTCATTTTTTGCAAGAATATCATATAATTGAATGTTTTGTGCTCCTCATTTTATCATATCAGGGAGGTACATGATGTTGGTTTGCCTCATTATTGGTGGTTCTAAATTTGATCACTTGGTTAAAGTGGTGCTCACTTTAGGAAAGATACCTTTTACTCTAATTTTAGTTTCCATTGATGAACCCTGCCTGCTTACATTAGGTATTAAACTGATGGTTTCACATCCTCACATTTTTGACTGAATCGATCATGTACCCTACTATGAACCAAGGGAATTTTTCCCCCAGCTTCCTCGTGAAATGGGATATGCATGTTCCAATAAAGACTGGTTGAACTCATTCTGCATTGATTGCCCAATTGCCCAGTTTTAAAAACTGACAGGCTTCCTGGATGTCAGATGAGCAAAAGAAAAAAGAAAAAAAAAATGACAGGCATTTCTGGGACAGTTTCTCACTGTTGACATCCATAGTTGTGTGCTAGAAACAACCTGGCTGCATTTCTTTTTTTGTTAATGGTTACTTTTGTTTTCTGCTCTTAGTGTGGATGATTTGGCTCTGAGCATATATCCACCTATGTGTCACCTGACTGTGCGAATCAATGTAAGTACTGGCTTTGAGGGAATAGCTACATATCTAATGGGAAGAATTTCACTAATCACTAGTATTTCCTCTAAGCTATAGGGTACATATTTATTTGTCACATTTGGATGGAAGTACAACAGTAATGTCGCAATTCTTGCATGCATTTGTGCTTGATAAATATTTGTTAAAGTTGAATTATAATAGCCATGAGCTTTGGTAGTTCTCTCTTCCATCATTACCTGGGTAATCATTTAGAAAAGCCTAAAGGCCTTAGAAAATGCTGCTTTGAGGCTGGACGTGGTAGCTTATGCCTGTAATCCCAGCACTCTGGGAGGCTGAGGCAGGCGGATCACCTGAGGTCAGGAGTTCGAGACCAGCCTGGCCAACATGGTGAAACCTTGTCTCTACTAAGAATACAAAAATTAGCTAGGCATCACATGCCTATAATCCCAGCTACTCAGGAGGCTGAGGCAGAAGAATCACTTGAACCCAGGAGGCGGAGGTTGCAGTGAGCCAAGATCGCGCCACTGCACTCCAGCCTGGGCAACAGAGCAAGACTCTGTCTCAAAAAAAAAGAGAAAAAAGAAAATGCTTATTTGAAAAGAAAGTCTTAATTACACAGTAATTTAGGAACTTCTCAACCTGAAGTCAAAAGTTTCTAGTTTCTAGACTAGGCAGCAATTAGATTGAACTCTAGCTGTTGATGAAGTAGCTCGCTGAGGTTGCAAGTTTCTTAATTCTACATTAGACAGAAATAAGTGTTACAGAAACATACTCTGTTCTAATACAAACACATTGTGTGATTTAACCATGGAGAGTCAAGTTTCTTATAAATATCTGATTTTATTGTATTCTTTGAAGTTCTGTGCCATTTACTAGAGAGAGTTCTTTCTACTGTTATTGGAAAGAGCCCTAAAACTGCCAAATGGCTTATATTTTAAAGTTGAACGTATCAATTCTAGTAATAGCTGATAAATTGGATAATGGAAACTAGATTCGTCAGATGTTCTTCATGATGTACAAACACCTTGAAGTAGAATAGGATCCTTTTGGGCATTAACTTAAAAAATTGACTCCCTAGGAAATAAACATCTTTAGCAGTATGCCTAGTCAACTATCCCAAACATAGCATCTGCTCTAGCAATTTTAAAATGTATACTGCATATGTATCTTTTTTTTTTTTTTTGAGAGAGAAAGTCTCACTCCATCGCCAGGCACCAGGCTGTAATACAGTGGTGTGATCTCAGCTCACTGCAACTTCCACCTCCTGGGTTCAAGCAATTCTCCTGCCTCAGCCTCCCTAGTAGCTGGGACTACAGGCATGCGCCACCATGCCTAGCTAATTTTTGTATTTTTAGTAGAGAAATGTCTCCATGTTATTATTATATTGGCAGTGTTAAAATCTTTTATAAGGTTTAAAAAAAAAAAAAACAGGAAACTTAGTCATTTCTGCTTTATATTTTGAGCTATCAGCTTTTGGGACCAATTCAGGTTACATTGTTCCCTTTTCTATTCTTTTCTAAATTGAAAATATTTTGGATTTTTAAAATCTTATTAAAACGTTATAGTAACAATATTAACAAGATCTTGCTAAAGAGAAAAGAACCCATAATCCCATCACCCTAACCTAATCAGCATTTTTGTTTTTGCGTGCTTCCTTCAGGGTTCGTTTTCTAAATATATATATTTTAATCATTTGAGTCTTTTAAAATATTTGAGCTTGCCTTTTTATGGTAGGGCTCAGGGTGAGTAACTTCTATGTTTCTTTTCTAGTCTGCGAAACTTGTGGCTGTCTTAAAGAAGGTGCTTGAAATCACAAAGTAAGTATGAAGACTTTTCAGATAGCTTTTTGAGAGTAAAGTGGAGCTCCTGTCCAGACATTCTCAACTCCTAAGCCCCCATTTCAAGGAGTGGGAAAGGGTGGGTGTGGGATTTTCTTTCAACTTCAGTTGTGGGGCAGCTGAGTTTCTGCAAAGAAGCACCCCTTTAAAAAATTACAGTTTTCCCTGTGCTCCCTCCTGAGGACAGGTTTTCCCTGAGGACACCCTAGTAAGTTTAACCTATTTTTTTTTCTATTCTATTCATAGAGCAAGTCATGTGACCCCTCAGCCAGAAGATAGTTGGATCCCTTTACTTATTAATGCCATTGATCATTGCATGAATAGAATCAAGGAGCTCACACAAAGAGAACTTGAATTATGAGTTTTCAGGTTCATTTATACTCTCTTCTCCTCTTCTCACCATCATGGTCAGGCTCTGATGTCTCCTTTTAAAATGGAGCTAGAATGCTTGCTGGATTGAGAGGCAATGCCTGTTTATATTTAGCAAGAGACACTATTACCAAAGATTGTTGGTTAGTCCAGATTGGCACCTATTTACAAACCATATACAAATAATATATTTTTCTGTGCTATATGTAAAAAATAATTGCATGATTTCTCATTCCTGAGTCATTTCTCAGAGATTCCTAGGAAAGCTGCCTTATTTGCTTTTTGCTGTAAATTGTTTTCATTGTAAAGATGTTGATGGTCTCAATAAAATGCTAACCTGCCAGTGATTGAGTGCCCTTCCAAAGTTTCTTTTTACCAGAAATACAGTGGATTGAGACTAAAACATTACTTTCATTTGGGTTTGTTGGTTTAAAAATCTGATTCTGATCAGAAGTGTATTTAGAACAAAACCCTTTATTTAGAAAAGATTACTCCAAAATTCATCTTAGCATTTCACCATGTTATATATTATTATCAACAAGTCCTTCTGAATATTGTCTCAGGTTACTTCATGTCTCTAAAATATACTGGCATTGAGCTGATGTTAGGTTTGCCCACCTTGTTGAACAGATTTATTTCCTTATACATACTTGTATTGTCCTCTGTTACATGTGTCCCCAAATGTAAATACCAATTTTTTACAAATCAAATGTTTTTTAGTGTATAAGAGATTTTATGTAATTTTAAGGGCCTTTTCAGTTCATCCTTTTGCAAAACCATCACCGCTTAATTATACTTTTGCATCAGTCTAGAAGACTTCATATTGGAAAGCAGCGTAAACCTGTAGTGATGTACATTCTGGTGAGCTGAATTGGGCCTTTTGCATGTCCTGCAGGTCTCCACCACCTCTAATACCTGTCCTTTTCCTTCTGTAGGTGTAATTCTTCACATGTGCCTTTCTGCTCTCTCTAGGTATAATCAGTAACAACAGTCATTCTTTGAGTGACTAGTGTATACTGGGGGTTGAAATTCCTTAAGCCAAATGTGTTTTAATTTACTGTTTGAAAGTGCCATTTTGTACTGCTAACAAGTGTCATAAAGGGAAGGAACTAAAACTAAACTGATAGAGTGCCAAAGCAACAAAATAACAAACAAAATAACTTTGTACAAAAGGAGTCTAGTTCTTTCTTCTTATAGAGCCTATTTTTTATATACTTAAAAAAATATTTTTCTACTGGACCAAATTCATGTTATTAACATTAGACTTTAATTGTGGGATACTTAATGAATATAGAACTCTAACATAAAGATTTATCTATAGCTGAATAATTCTCTCAGGTCCTATGTTATATAACTTTGTTCAGTCATGTTTGGATCTTTAAGGATAACAATCAGAGAAAGCACTGATCAATGTACATTTTTTTTTTTTGAGATGGTGTCTTGCTCTGTCCCCCAAGCTGGAGTACAATGGCACAATCTTGGCTCACTGCAACCTCTGCCTCCTGGGTTTTCAAGCGATTCCCTGGCTTCAGCCTCCCAAGTAGCTGGGATTACAAATGTGCACACCACACCCAGCTAATGTTTGTAATTTTAGTAGAGATGGGGTTTCACCATGTTGGCCAGGCTGGTCTCGAACTCCTGACCTATGAGAAATATAAGAATGATTTAAGTGTTAGGTTCTTTCCCTTACCTGCAAGTTAATGAGTGTATTAATGAGCAGTAAAATGGTTGCAAAAAACCTGAACCTGAAAATCTGAATGTACTTTGTAAAGGTATCTGAGCACCTTTTCAAAGGCTTCTTTTCATCACTTTACCCACTAGTGTCTATTGTAAGACAACTGGTCTTCATGGCTGCCTTAGCTGGGGTGACAGAAATAAACATCTTAATTATTGATTTCTGGGAATCTAATTTTGTTCTTGGTCACTCTTCTGCCCAACTTGAATGACTATTCATTTGTCTGATAAACAAAATGATGTAGTTTGGCTGTCTGATACCCAGTGTTGGAGGTAGGGCCTAATAGGAGGTGTTTGGGTCCCTCATTAATGGCTTGGTTCTGTCCTTGGGGTCATGAATGAGTTCTCACTCTATACATCCCTCCCTCACTCCCGAGCTGGCTGTTAAAATGAGGCTGGCACATGGCACCTACCCCTTCCCCACCCATTCTTGCCCTATGATCTCTACTTATATTGACTCCTTCACTTTCCTGCATGAGTGGAAGCAGCCTGAAGCCTTCACTGTTTCTTGTACAGCCTGCAGAACCGTGAGCCAAATAAACCTCTTTTCTTTTAAACTACCCAGCCTCAGGTATTCCTTTATAGCAACACAAACACTGAGATGCAAAGTTTCTCTTCCTAGGACATGTTTGATTTAGATTGTAGAGTCAAGGGCTGGCAGGAGGGTGGTGCTAGAGCTGAAGTTTAAGCTGACAGTGTAGGGGCTACCACAGTGACACTTTTATAGTTGGTTAGGTTCTGGAACATGTTGCAGTCCACTTCCACAGTGAGCCTCTGGAGCCCCAAGTGTGTTGGTGTGAACTGGAACTGGGTACACATGGTGTTTTCAGGCCACACTGAACCGAATCTGAAATAAAGGAAAAGGCAGATGGTAGTTCTGTCCCAGGTTCACTGCTCTGATGGTCCCAGTGACTGATCTTTCCTTGCTTGAAGAGATGGACCATGCACAAATAAACATGTAAGTACCTTGCTATTAAAATAGAAGTGTTTACAAAGGAATAGAAGACAGGAGCCACCCAATGCTGAGCAACTGCACGGTTGAGAAGAGACATATCCTAAGGGCTACCAAGCTACATCTGTCGTTGCTTTTGTCATCTGTGAATTCCTTCTGGTTCAATTCCTGGTAATGGTACTGGAGTCTCTTTGGAAGAGTGATATGGTTTTGCTATGTCTCACCCAAATGTCAACTTGAATTCTGTCTCCCAGAATTCCCATGTGTTGTGGAAGGGACCCAGGGGGAGGTAATTAAATCATGGGAGCCAGTCTTTCTATAGTGAATAAGCCTCAGAAGATATGACGGGCTCATCAGGGGTTTCTGTTTTGCTTCTTCCTTATTTTCTCTTGCCACCACCCTGTTAGAAGTGCCTTTCACCTCCCACCATGATTCTGAGGCCTCCCCAGCCATGTGGAACTGTAAGTCCAATTAAACCTCTTTTTCTTCCTGGTCTCAGGTGTGTCTTTATCAGCAACCTAAAAACAAACTAATACAGTAAATTGGTACCAGTAGAGCGGGGCATTGCTGAAAAGATACCTGTAAATGTGGAAGTGACTTTGGAACTGGGTAACAGGCAGAGATTGGAGCAATTTGAAGGGCTCAGAAGAAGAGAGGAGAATGTGGGAAAGCTTGGAACCTCCTAGAGACTTGTTGAATGGCTTTGCCCAAAATGCTGATAGCAATATGGACAATAAAATCCAGGCCAAGGTGGTCTCAGATGGAAATGAGGAACTTGTTGGGAACTAGAGCAAAGGTGACTCTTGTTATGTTTTAGCAAAGAGACTGGTGGCATTTTGCCCCTGCCCTAGAGATTTATGGAACTTTGAACTTGAGAAAGATGATTTAGGATATCTGGTAGAAGAAATCTCTAAGCAGCAAAGCATTCAAGAGATGACTTGGGTGCTCTTAAAGGCATTCAGCTTTATAAAGGAAGCAGAGCATAAAAGTTTGGAAAATTTGCAGGCTGACTATCCAATAGGAAAGAAAAACCCATTTTCTGGGGAAAAATTCAAGCCAGCTTCAGAAGTTTGCATAAGTAGCAAGGAGCCTAATATTAATCCTGAAGACCATGGGGAAAATGTCTTCAGGCCATGTCAGAGACTTTTATGCCAGCCCCTCCCATCACAGGCCTGGAAGCCCAGGAGGAAAAATTGGTTTAGTGGGCCAGGTCCAAGGTCCCTGTGCTGTGTGCAGGCTAAGGATTTGGTGCCCTGTGTCCTAGCCATCCCAGCTGTGGCTGAAAGGGGCCAACATACAGCTTGGGCTATGGCTTCAGAGCGTGGACACCCCAAGCCTTGGCAGCTTCCACATGGTGTTGAGCCTGTGGGTGTGCAGAAGTCAAGAACTGAGGTTTGGGAACCTCTGCCTAGATTTCATAAGATATATGGAAATGTCTGGATGCCCAGGCATAAGTTTTCTGCAGGGGTGGGGCCCTAATGGAGAATCTCTGCTAGGAAAGTGCAGAAGGGAAATGTGGGGTCAGAGCCTCCACAGAGTCCCTACTGGGGCACTACCTAGTGGAGCTATGAGAAGAGGGCTACCATCCTCTGGACTCCAGAATGGTAGATCCACCAACAGCTTGCACTGTGTACCTGGAAAAGCCACAGACAATGCCAGCCCATGAAAGCAACTGAGAGGGAGGCCGTACCCTGCAAAGCTTCCCAAGACCATGGAAGCTCACCTCTTGCCTCAGTGTGATCTGGATGTGAGACCTAGAGTCAGAGGAGATCATTTTGGAGCTTTGAAATTTGACTGCCCTGCTGGATTTTGGACTTGCCTGGGCCCTTTAACTCCTTTGTTTTGGCCAATTTCTCCCACTTGGAATGGCTGTATTTACCCAATACCTGTACCCCCACTGTATCTAGGAAGTAACTAGCTTGCTTTTGATTTTACAGGCTGATAGGTGGAAGGGACTTACCTTGTTTCAGGTGAGACTTTGGATTGTGGATTTTGGGTTAATACTGAAATGAGTTAAGACTTTGGGGACTGTTGGGAAGGTATGATTGTTTTTGAAATGTGAGGACATAAGATTTGGAGGGTCCAGGGGCAGAATGATATGATTTGGCTGTGTCCCCACCCAAATCTCAACTTGAATTCTGTCTACCAGAATTCCCATGTGTTGTGAGAGGGCTCCAGGGGGAGGTAATTGAATTACAGGGGCTGGTCTTTCCCATGCTATTCTTGTGATAGTAAGTCTCACAAGATCCAATGGGTTTATCATGGGTTTCCACTTTTGGTTCTTCCTCATTTTCTCTTGTCAACACCGTATTAGAAGTGCCTTTCACTTCCCTCCATGATTCTGAGTACTCCCTAGCCATGTGGAACTGTAAGTCCAATTAAACCTTTTTTTCTTCCCAGCTATGTGTTTATAGCACAGCAGCATGAACATAAACTAATACCAAGAGCTATAGCTTTGGAACCTTTGCTTATTGCTAAGCACAGTGGATGTAGCAGGCTTATTGAGAGGATGTCAGTATGTCAGCAGGTGGTGTTTGGAGCCTTGTCAGCAACCTCCTGGCCTGCCTATAAACCTTCTTTTGGTGACAGACTTCCTTTGAGGAGCTTTGCCCCACGATTGATTTGGGAGACCACAGAAGTCTGGTTAAATGTTGACTCTCCCTCTTCTTGACTTATTAGCAAAAGTGACTCAGTAACACACATCTGCTAGGACCTGAGGACAGTAGGTATAGGTATCTTGAACTTTATACGGTGATTCAACTAAGGATGCAGTACACATAACGAAAGAAGATACTCGCAACATTTAAAATCAACAAGAGACTAATACCTGGACTATACAGGGAACTTCTACAAATCAACAAGGAAGAGCAGAGACACCAAAAGAAAAGTGGGCAAAATAAAGATGAACTACTTACCAAGAAGAAAACATAAAAGGCTAACAAACATATGAAGAGTTGCAATTAAAACAATAGTAAGATATTATTTCATTTTTATTAGACTGGAAGAAAATATTAATAGCTGGGTATTGCTAGGGATGAAGGAGAGGTAGGAATATCGAAACTCTCATGTACTGCTGGAGGGTGTGGAGACTTGCAGCCATTCTGCAAATCTGACAGTACCTGTTCAAACCACATCATAACCAGTGACCCAGCAATTCTATTCCTGGGTATATATATCCTCAGACTCCACCAAAGTTTCAAACAAGTTTATAAGGAGACCTATGTGAGGATGTTCACTGCAACATTATTTTCAGTGTCAGAGTTGGAGGCACTCCGGGTGCCCATGTCTATAGAGTGGAGTGGTAGAAAGTAGTGGGTGTACATGATGGAATATTATGTAGCAGAAGACATATAGGCATAAATCTTAAGAACATAGTTCTGAGTGAAAAGTAAGAAAAGCAATTAATTATAAATTTATGTAAGTTAAAAATACAGGCTCATGAAAGCAACCGTACACATTTTACATGTACAAATAAAAGGACATGAAGGGTGGTGGTGAAAATGGAAATAAATGGGAACAAATTAAATCGTGTATTGTGGTGGTGACTACCAGAATGCAGCCCTCTTATCACAGTGAGAGGTAGCCTGTCTTCCCTTCATTACTCTCCAATTCCCAGCCCTAATGCCCTCACCTGCATTCACAGCAATACCCAGGCTCTCCCTGCATGATCAGGGCAGCAGTGAGGGCAAGTAGGTGCCCAAGGGGCTCGCATAGCCTGCCTCACTCCTATTCTCCTACAGATATAATGGTCCCAGGATGAGGAAAGCCACTTGGTAGCCCTAATCCTTTAGTTCAGTTTCTGTGGGTATCTGCTGTCTGCAAGGACATGACAAAGAGAGAGTCTCTCTCTTGGGCCCTGCCTTTCTGACTTGTTGAGACATTTAATGGGGAAGAGAAGTCTGCCATCACTTACCTGTAGCTCCTCTCCCTGTGAATGAGCCCCCTTCCCAGGATGGAGATCACACAGTGCTTCATGGGGGCATCTAGGGAATTCTGGATGTTGACTGAGGCTGTGAGGGGTTGATACTGCTCTGCTTTCTCTGGCATCTGTGGGAAGAGGCAATGCCTGGTGTGGATGTCAAGGACCCAGCCACAGTCACTCTCTTCTCCCCTGCACCCCGTACCCTCAGTAAATTTCCTCATCTCTGCCAAGCTGACCCAAACTTCACAGCTGATGTCTTCTACCCACTCTACCTGCTCTTCCTGCATTTATTCTCACCCTTGGTCCATCACCGATGATTTGTGATGGTGCCTCTCCTCTATGCAGACATCTTGGAAGGTTTCCCACCATCTTAGGAATTCAGCTTACATTGTATTCAGAGTTCTTCATGGTGTTCCCCCAACCTCCCTCTTCCACCTCTCCTGTTCTTCCCATGACTAAGTGACATCCCAGCCCCATCAGGGACTGTCCCATCCCCAGCACGCCCCTCAGGCTACCTTCTATTGCACCTCTTTGCTGTCTTCTGCCTTCAGTGGCCTTCCCTTACCTCTATACTGAAAGAGTACTCATTTTTCAAGGCCCAGCATAAATGTCAACTCCTTCATAAAGTCATCCCCAAACCCAGCAGCTGGAATTAATCCCCTTTGCTTCACTTATTGCTTCACTTATTCCATAGCGACTTTGTGCATCTATTAAAGCACTTATCTGGAACACCAAATGTTGTGTCTTCCTAACTAAACTATAACCTGCTTGAGGGCAGGGATCAGATCTCATTCATTTTGGCCAGAGTAGACACATGGAAAGAGGGCTGGACCAACAGCCATAAGCCTCAAGAACTTCCTGCTTTTATGATCTTAGGCATGTTGCTCTCTAGGACTCAGCTTTTTTTTTAAATCTCAATAATGGGAACAGTTCCACCTCACAGAGCTTAGAAAGAAAAAGGAGGTGAAAAATCCTCAGGCATGTGTAGGAAGTGCTAAATAAACATAGGCTATTATGATTCCTGTAGGTAGGAGGCAGCAACTGGGAATGCCCCAATTTTAGAAACCTTTACTTGACTAACTAAAAAGTTGGAAGATTTAAACTTTAATAGGGTATGTAAGAAACTATGTCTCTCAAGAGAAAAAGCTCTTAAATGTAGCATTTTCTGGTAATCCTGTGGCACAGTCATCTGCTCTGAAAGGGCTTGGATTCCTTCTGAAATGCAGACCTGAGTGGTAGCAGATTGAGGGCAACTCAGGGGAGGACTGGTGCCTACCTTGATGGCAAGGTGTGGTTTACAAATGGCAATGTCTTCCTGAGCAAAGCAGCTAAGGCTGGACTCAGAGTATGCTGCCATGGCGGTGAGTCTAAGGAAGGTGTTCTCAGGTACATTTTGCTCAAAATTGGAGAAGAACAGGCCAATGGTTATTGTCTTTTCTGAAACACACAACAGGTGGAGTCAGTGCCAATGGGTGTGTGTACCCCAGAAACAGCCATAGTTACACGCACAATGCAAATGATTCAGGGCCTCATTGATGTCAGAAAAATGCCCCATTTCCCCCAGAAGCTGTATGCTTGGAACTCACTCAAGACCCCATTCCTCACCCTCATACCTATCACCACCTCCGACAGTGCTCTTGGCAGACCACCTTAGTGAGGTTGGGGAAGGGTCCCAGTGAACTAGAGCAAGTTAAGCTATTTGGGCCTCAATGTCCTTGTCTCATAATAATGCCTTCCTGGTGGGATGGTTTGTGTTGTTTGTAAGCTTTTTGTTTTGTTTTAGGGACAGGGTCTTACTCTGTCACCCTACAGACAGAAACATCTGCTCCCACTGTCACTACTGCTCAGGGGATGACATATCCGCCCTGCCCAAGTTGAATCTTCTGCTTTCTAAGTCTGTGCCCCTCCTAACCCCATCACAATAGCTGTGTAACTTTGAGTAAATTATTGAACCTCTCTGTGTCTCATCTCATCTGTAAAGTGGCAATAGCAATGGTTCTTGCCTCAGAATGTTGTTGTGAGGGCTAATAAGATGATGCATATAAAGCATTTAACACCATTTTGGGCAAAAATAAGTGCCCAATAAATGTGAGCTACAATTATTCTAGTTGTCTCATTTCCCCAAGCATAGCTCTATCAATTTTAATCCATCTCTCCTGAGGCTGCATTCTTTCCCTCTTGCCTGCTTCTTTTCCTCAGCATGGAAGCAGGTTCAGCTCTCTCCCTTTGCCCAGTGTTCCTGGCTAACCCCTAGCCTCCCTTTTCCTGTCATGCCTCCAGGGAGGACTGGGCAGTTTGTCTCACCTTCCCAACTCAATCGGCTTAATGCCCAGGAAGCTTCTCTGCAAGGCCACTCTCTTAATGGTGCTTTTCAGCATTGACACCTCATGCCCTCTCTGCTGACCTTGCTGGGTGCCCCCTTCCTCTGACTTTCTGGCCTCCCTTTCTCTCTGCTTTTCCCCTGACCATCTTCTAAATGCTGCTGCTGCTGCTGGGTTCCCTCCTCACCCTCTCATCTACTCACTGTCCTCTCCCCACCGCCATGAGCTCATCTATGCCCTGACTCTTTGTTGGCCCCCCCTGTGCTGGGATTTCAATGTCTGAGCTCCAGCCCAGAACTTTATCAAGTTTTCTTGCTGCCTACTGGTCAGCTCCACTTGGATGTGTCATGGGCTTTCAGACACTATGTGCCACAAACAAATACATCCTTTTTCTCCCTGAACCTGCTCTTCCCCATTTTTCCTTTTCTAGTGACCCACCCCTACCAGAAGCATCCACCACACACATATACACTCACACATTCACAAGTCCAATCTATCCCAACTCCTAAACATGTTTTAATTCTAAGTGCTTCCAGCTTAGTTTAGCCTTCATTTCTTGACTTCATGACTACAAAGTCTTCTCATCTTCAATCCAGTGGTTCTCAACACTGAATGTACATTAGAATCAAGTCGGGAGCTTTACAAAACAATCCTAATGCCAGGCTACACCCCAAATCAGTTACATCAGACTCTGGCAGTGAGGCCCAGACATTAGTATTTTTTTAAAGTTTCCCAGATGACTGGAGTATCTGAGCCTACTCTGGCTCAGAAGACTGCCCCCCAGCCCCCCAAAAAAAGTTCGCCAGATGACTCAATGTACAGCCAAGGTTAAGAAACATTCTTCTTATATGACCCCTTCCATTCCATTCTGCCAAAAGTTCTTTCTTGTTAAAATGAATTTCTGATTCCATTGACTACCCTGGCTGAAACCTTCCACCAGCTTTCCATTACTCAGAGAACAAAACTCAAACTCCTTAGCAAGACAGATAAGACCCTGTGTTACCCGGGCCCTGTCCAGCTCTCACATCACTCCCCTGACTCCATTCCTCCCATGCTTGGAAAGGGAAGAGTGATGCAGAGACTGAAGGTGGGGTGACTGGTTAGAAGGCTGTCGCAATGCTGTAGACAAGCTCTAGTCAACTGATTCTCAGACTTGTCTGCACATTGGAATTACCTGAGTTTTTAAAAATTCTGATGTGTTCCACCATAGAGTTTTTTTTTTTCTTTTTGAGATGGAGTGTCACTGCATTGCCCAGGCTGCAGTGCAGTGGCATGTCTTGGCTCACTGCAACCTCCGCTTCTTAGGTTCAAGCAATTCTCCTGCCTCAGCCTCCCCAGTAGCAGGGATTACAGATGCATGCTACCATGCCCAGCTAATTTTTCCATTTTTAGTAGAGTCAAGGTTTCACCATGTTGGCCAGGCTGGTCTTAACTCCTGACCTCAGGTGATCCACCTGCCTTGGCCTCCCAAAGTGCTGGGATTACAAGTATAAGCCACCAAGCCCGGGCCACCAGGGAATTTCTGATTTAACTGGCTTGGGACACAAGCTGGGCATGAAACTTCCGCAGGTGATTCTAATGTGCAGCAAAAATTAAGAGCAATTGCTCTAGTTCAGGGAATCTTAACCATAGAATAACACAGGGTGTTTTTTGTTTGTTTGTTTAAAAAAAAAAACAATGCCTGGACCCCATCCCAGACCAATTAAATAAGAACCTCAGGGATAAGGAGGGCCCTTTGCACATGTTGCTCCTTCCATCTGGAATGCTGTGACTTACTTCTCTGGCTATTACTCTCCTACTCATCCTTCCAGATTCAATGCAGTACAATTTATTTGGGGGCAGCCTACTCCAGCCTGAAGGAGATGCTCTCCTGCCACTGTACTCTGTTAAGCTCAGCAAACGCTTCTCACACTGCTATGAAGGGTCTGTTTACTGATCTGATTGCAGTTGTTATCATGTTTTTTTCCTGCTTCAGGCCCAATAAATATGTGTTGAATGAGTGAATGAGGGAGAGCACAAGAGTGAGCACCAGGGGCTCAAAGCCATCTCGAGAAGCTGCACGGGGGTGCCCTGTGGCTGCTGCCTGCCCAAGACAGGGGCCATGTGTGTGGGAAGTCTGGTGTGGCTATAGAGCATTACCCAGGTTGTCACAGAGTGTGAGGGACAGCTTCTTCCTCCAGAGCTCGGCAGCAAGGACACCATTGTAGTGCACAGCCTGGACCCCAATTGCCAGCTGCACTGCCTTCTCCTGCTCACTGTGGTTAATCAGCGTCACTGAGATCTGGCCATCCCCTCTCAAGGGTAGGGAGCTGGGTGCTTTCAAGAACAGGTACAGAGGATTGGCAGTCTCCAGACTGGGAGGACAGATGCCATTGTCTTTCCCAAATTTCATTCTCTCTTTCTTGACTCGCTCCAGCACCTCTTTTTCCTGAAGAGACCCTGGAGAAGGGAAGAAACAAAGCCAACCTTTTACCCAGGAGATACAAATGCTTCTAATAAAAGCCCAAGAATCAAAACCATTTACCCACTTCTGCTCAAATGCCAAAGTCACAAGAGCTCTCCAAACCTCTAAGGACATATTTAGCCTCAAAATGTCTGTGTGAGGCAGATCCACTACCGACACAGTGTGTCTCTTCCAAGCCACTCAAGGACCAAGTTCTTTTTCAAGTGTTACGGATTTGCCCCTTGAACAATGAGACAGCAAGGTTGGGGACAACTCACACTGGTTCTGAGGACAGTTTTGCAGGGAACTGAATCTTTTATGTGAAAGAATTTAGACTTACTCTGAGGATCAGGAATGCTGCTAAATGTCCTAGGGTGTGCAGCCCCTACAACAAATATCTGTCCCCAAATGTCAATGGTGTCCAATGGGGTTGAGGAACCCTGTTTTATATGATGGGGAAACGACAGGGGCTCTTTCTGCCTACACCTGCCAGGCCCATCCCTTTCCCTCATTTGCTGTTTCAGGTGCCGAGAAGCCTGGGGCCCTTCCCTGGCCCGTACCTTCAGGATACTTGTAGTTCTGAGTGATGTCCTCACAGCGGTCACTGCCCACACCCTTGGTGCTGATGTTGTTGCCAACATACTTTGTGTTGGAGTCAGTCAACTCCAGTTTCCCATCCTCACGGCACTTCCAGACCACACATGAGGCATTTATGGCAGCAAAAAGGTCTGACACTGCAGGGGTCAGCCCCAGCATCCCTTCCTTGACTGCTCTGACCGGCACCAGCTCACAGGACCCCAGGACTGAGGGAGAGAAAGGTTGGTGAGCCCGGAAGCCGTGCCTAGACCTGTGCTCAGTTCAGAGCTGCATAACCTCAGTCCCCATCTTCTTGCCTATTTTCCCTCCCCAAGGACCAAGGTCAGAGGTCAGCACTAGGCAGGGCTTCTGAGAGAGTCACAGAGGTGAAGCTATTTAGTGATCAACTACTTAGTGATAAGACTTTCTGGTCATGGCATATGGCAGAAGCCGTCTCAGGAAATGGACAGGCAGAAGCTGAGAGGACCACACTTAGCGTGAGAAACTCCCAAACCAGCTTTACTATGGATATGACAGGAATAGGGCCGCCTTTCTTGAGCACTTACTGGGTGCCAGGCTCTGTGCCACTTCTGTTCCTGGGTGAGGAGGAGCTATCTTTTATTGGTCCTGAAGCTTCCTTTTCTGGGCTGTAGCCTATCCTGATACCCTCTTCATCCATGTCCTCAGAACCCCCCTGCTGCAAGCCCCTGACCTAACACAGCCACTCACCATCTTAAGATCCTTATGATCTTATGATCCTATGAAAAGCTGGAGATTTCTCAAAGCACTTAGAACTACCATTCAACCTAGCAATCCCATTAATGGATATATATCCAAGAGAAAATAAATTGTTCTGCCAAAAAGACACATGCACTCATATGTTTGTTTCAGCACTACACACAATAGCAAAGATGGAATCAACCTAGGTGGCTATCAATGGCGGGTTGGATAAAGAAAATATGGTACATGTATACCATGGAATACTACATAGCCATAAGAAAGAATGAGATCATGTCCTTTGTAGCAACATGGATGCAGCTGGAGGTCATTATCCTAAGCAAATTCATGTAGGAACAGAAAACCAAATATTGCATGTTTTTACTTACTAGTGGGAACTAAACATTGGGTACTCATGGACATAAAAATGGCAACAGACACTGGAGACTACTAGAGGCATAAGGGATGGTGAGGGGTTGAAAACCTATTGGGTACTATGTTCAGTACCTGGGTAATGGGAGCAATCACACACCAAATCTCAGCATCATGCAATAGACCCATGTAACCTGCACATCTAGCCCCTGAATCTAAAATAAAAGTTGAAATTATTTTCCAAAAAAAAAAAAAGATTCTCTGCCCTTCACTGCAACCCAACTCCCTAACCCACTGCTCTAAGGTGCCTCATCTCCCTATAACCTTGTGGCCAGGATGGTTGGCACCTCTATTCCCACGATCCCAGTGGCATCAGATCAGCCTCCTCCTGGCCACTGTCATGCCTCATGCTTCTCCTGTTTTCGAGGACGCAGACCCCTTGGGACTGCCTGCTGCTCCCGAGTCCTCTCCAGGGGACTCTTTCATCTCTTGCATCTCTGTGCAGCCCTGCATGGTCCTAGAACCACCCCTAGGCTTTACCTCTACCTCCATTAGGAGCACTTGGGTGCAGAATCTGCCATCCATCATAACCCTGGGGCAAGGCAGGCCGTGTCATCCAGCACTCTGTGGAAGTCTGGAAGATCCTAAATGTAGCAAAGAGAAAAATTCAAGTGGGAAGGAAAAGGGGTGCTGAAGAGGTTCTGGAAATGCAGCCTGGCAGAGTTGTTGTTGTTCCAGTGGGATGGGAGGTCACTGTGTCACAGGCTGTGGCACTCCCAGGAAGGGGCGTGCACACCACCACTGACCATCAGCGCTCGCCTTCAAGGGTCTACTCTTCTCCATGCCAGGGTCACGCAGGGGATGGGGCTCCTTCAGAGGTGTGCCATGCAGGGTTTGAGCCCTTCCTGGCTTGGAACCTCATCTTTCTCAGGCTTCTCACCAGATTCTGCCTCTCTGGCCTTCTCCATTCTGAAGTCCCTCCTCATTGTAGTATTCATCTACGAGCAAACGCCCACCGGTGCCCTGCGCTGAGGCAAAGGTGGTCACCACGCGGGCAGGGATTCCCAGGCATCGCAGCACTGTGAGAAGAGGGGTGGAGTGTCAGGGGCACTCAAGAGATCAGGCTGGGGGTGTGTGGAAGGCTGGCATTTTCAATATGGGCACATTCACATTTCCTCTGGGCACTGAAAACCTTGGAGGAGGAGTGTAGGCACCTAGAAGTGGCAGCCAAGAACAGGACACATAAAGGCTAATCAATAAGGCACAGGTTCTACTGCATGTGGGGTATATAGCAGGGGAGAGGGCAACAGAACCTAGAACACAGCGCTGCAGGGCTGCCCTGCTGGGACAGTGAATTTGGGAGCGGAGTTTGCAAATGAACCCAACTTTGCTGAGGGGAAAAGCAGCAGAAGCTGGTGGGAGGAGCTGCCTGGGACAACTGCTTCTGTGTGATGAGATGGGGAAATATGGCCACAGGGAGGCAGTCCTTGCTTTTGGAAATGTCCCTCCCACATGGAAGGCCAGGGAACAACCCAAGAGGCAGGGTACTCTGTACAGCAGACAAGGGGACCAACCTGTGCAAGCAACAGCAGCCAACACCCAGGCCTGGCCATCATACACAGGTCGGCCTTGGCCAGTGAGCCACTGCCGCAGGATGGGCACGCTGCCCCGTCGCTTGTTCAGCGAGGGCCCTTCCTGGGTGGCCTGGGTCTGCGGGGTGGGCAGGACCCTCTTCTCCTTGAGAGCATGCAGCTGTTTGGGGAAATGTGTGGATGTCAGTATGAGTCCCTCGGGCAGGACAGCTTCCAGGGCACGGGTAAAGAGGGCTCACTGCAGTACTCCAACCATGGCGAACAGATCTCTGGCATCAGAGCTACCTGGTACTGATTAAACCTGCAGCTCCTGGGCTCTGTCCTAGGCCCCTGGGTCATACTCTAGGGTAGGAGTCCAGGACCCTCCTTCTTAACAAGTTCTCTGGCTCCAGCCACAAAGAGGATCATGAGAGCTGCCCTTCCTCAGGGGCTGGTTTCACTGGTTCTTAGTCCTCCACCCTGACTCGTTTGAGGTGGTTTGTGCCTGGGTCCTGGAGGCCATTTATCCCAAGCTTCTGTTAACCTGGACCCTTGCCACCTTTTCAGATGGCACATCAGCAGCAAAGAGGGAATGGCAAATGCATGACTCCTCTGAGGATTTTTAGGGACAAGGGAAAGCACCAAGTTACCATCATGGTCTGCATATATATATATATATATATTTTTTTTTTTTTTGATATGGAGTCTTGCTCTGTCACCCAGGCTGGAGTGCAGTGGTGCAATCTCGGCTCACTGTAACCTCCGCCTCCTGGGTTCAAGCGATTCTCCTGTCTCAGCCTCCCGAGTAACTGGGATTACAGGCATGCACCACCACCCCCAGCTAATTTTTGTATTTTTAGTAGAGACAGGATTTCACCATATTGGTCATGCTCGTCTGTCACCGCCTTGGCCCCCCAAATTGCTGGGATTACAGGTGTGAGCCACGTGCCCAGTAACCATCATGGTCTGCATATTCTTACAAATAATCAAGGTCCCTTTGATCACCGCAGCAAGCACTGGGTAAGATGGGCCCTTCCTGCTCCTTCCCATGGACCTAAGCTCCAGGTTGGGGCTGGGTGTGGGGATGGAAAGAAGGGGTTAGTCTTCTGCGAGCTTGCGTCCTGAGGTGTGACATTTATTTGCTTTTCTTCCAGCTGTGGATGCTACTGCCTACCTTTTTTCTCCTCCTCAGACCCTTCTGTAGGAACTGTCTCAACACCCTGGGAAGAGGGGACCATTTGTGATTTACAGGTTCACGGTGATGGAGCAGGTCTGTTAGAGGGCTCTTGCCTTACCTCCGCCCCATCTGGTTTCCCAGCCTCTCACTCACCAAGGCACCCAACACACTGGCCACGTGCACTGGCTGGCTCCACTTCTCTACCTGCTTGTCCTCATTCAGCAAGCGCAGACTGAGGTCAATGACATCCCCCTCAAACTGTTAAGGATCACACAGGGCCATGATGAAGGGTCTCCAGGTCAGGCACTCATCCCACAAGATAGCCTCATCATCTCGTCCTTCTCCCAGACCCACGCTCCACACCTGCCTCCCTTGTCTCCTCCCTCAGAGTTCTGGCTCCCTCCTCCCACCTCTCAATGTGCCCTGGGTTCCCTTTCCCAGGCATCCAGTCCTTTGTCTATTCTGTTGTCTGACTCCCAGTAGGGTATGAGCTCTTGAGGTCTAGTGCTGCATGGTTTTGTTTCATCACATTGCATTCCATTTCTATTTAGTTAGCCCCTACTGCTCCTACCAGCCCTGAACCAGGGGTGGAGAATACCGAGGCAGCTCCTGCTCCTGAGGAGCCCCTGGAGATGGTCATGCAGCCCCTTAGATACAGAGCACAACAGCATGGCCAGGGCTCTTGTAGAGATGCCAGCACAGAGCAGCACAGTGGAGACGCTCCCTTTGCCTTTGGGGATGGGGAAGGCTTAGAGAAGGTCTTGAGATGGGTAGGAGCTTGCCAGGAGATAAGGGTGGGAAGCCCTTCCTGGCAGAGGGAACATTCAGCCTGTTGCTCTGGGAGAGTGAGGAGTTGGAACACGGGGTGGTTCATGGGGAAAGGAAAGCAGGGGCCTGGCTGGAAGGGCTGTGGATGTTAGGCGAGGGGTATTTGGTTTTTATCTTGAAGACAGTGGGGATTTAACTGAGGCTTGATTTGCCAGTTTTAAGAAAAATAATTCTGGGATCTCCAGAGGATGTTCTGATGTGACCCAAAGGAATGGAAGGCACCACAAGGCTGAACTGGGCTAGAGAAATGGTCTCATGACCAGGGGATTTTGGACCTACCAGGTCTGTCTAGCCTGAACATACAAGGTTATGGGACAGTCACTCTATACATTCCTCCCCTACAGGGCCCTGGTACCTGGCCAAAGTCCCAGGACTCTGCCTGGATGCAGTCAGCTGTGCCCAGGTAGATGAGACCATTCTGGTTCAACAAGTACTCCCTGCGCTGAGCCTCGTTGTTCAGGAACACAGCATCATCTGGTGAGAAGGGGTAGGGATGAGGGCCTGTGGTGGGGGTGCTAGGTCCTCCCTTCACATCCAGGCCTCTGTCCTCCCTGCTGAGATTAAGTTTGGCTGCTGGCCACCCCTTCAACAGTGTCCCCACTGGGACCCAGCCCAGAGTCCCTGGGCCAATCAGAGTGTGGACTTTATGGTGAGCCAGGCAGACAAGAACAATCTTAAAAAGCTTGGTTGGCTAGGTGCAGTGACTCACACCTACAATCCCAGCATTTTGGGATGCCAAAGCAGGAGGATAGTTTGAGGCCAGGAGTTTGAGACCAGCCTGGGCAACACAGGGCAGGTGCCCAGCAATCTGCAAGAACAGAATGAGCCAGAAGAGAGGAGCAAAGACAGGAACAGTAGATTTCCTGGAAAGCAGAAGAAGCTTGTGAGATAACACAGACCCCTTGAGGCCCTGGTTGGTGGGGAGCCTTATCAATTCAAAATTGTATATTCTTTTTTGTAAGAGGGTCCCCCAAATTGCGTCAGCTTTAGGCCCTGCAAAACCTGAGAGCACTCTGGACACAGAATAGCAGGGAGAGGGAGAGATGTCCATCCTCAGGCCACTTCATCCTGAGGCCCTCTCCAGTTCTCACCCCTGTAATGCTGTAATGAAGGGCAGCTTTCCCAGCGTCATCTCAGTGAGTCTCAACTCCTGTGATCAAAACAGCCTGAGCCAGCACCAGGGTCTGGTGGTAAGACAGCTTTTGCTTTCAGTGGGAAGCCTCAACCTGCTCCTCCCGGGGGTGACACCGAGACAGCATCCTGAGTCTGAGAGCTGGTTCATCCAGGGAGAAGGCCCTGGCACAGACTAGGTGTTGGTGCTGCCCTTAGAGAGGGCTGCCGCAGGGGCCTGGCACAGATGCTCCCTGCCAGAACTGCATCCCAGCTCCAGTGCCTGGAGTCCCTGTGCAGCCCACGCTGGCCAAGGTCCAAACTTACCTCTATTCCAGGGGTTAAAGAGCAGCGTGAACTGGCCCAGGAGGCATGGCTTCCTGCCTGAGAACTGCAGCAGAAGCGAGTAGTGGCCAATGACAGCGTCCACAGGTGTGTTCACAGAGATGGTCCAGGACTGGGCATCTCTCTCCTCCACCACTGCACTCCAGAACTTTTGGTCCCCCAGACTAGAAATCAGGAATGTGGCTTGGGTCCTGTTGATCTTGGAAGGCTGCTCTCCTGCAGTCACACAGTGATCAGTTAGTCTTGGGACTTCTTGGTCACAACTCAGAGTAATAAGGTCAGGGTATTACAAAGATGGAGCAGGTGAAAGTTGTTTTTGGAGGATAATGAAAGCAACCCATCCAGAAATGAGGCCCATCAAGAAAGAGTGATACGAGAACACAGGCTGTCGGTGCCTATGCACCTACATCTAGAAAGGTTTGTAGTGTATAAAATGGGCATCACAATGGTACCTGCTTCATGGCCTATGTGAGGACTGAATGAAATACTGCATGTGAAGTAGTTGGCCCAACACCTGACAGGTAGTATGGATTCAATAAACAGTAGCAATTAAATGTTATATTTAGCCTGGATTCAATTCCATCAGAATTTTCTACAAAGCTACCATTATCTGTGCAACCAAAAGGAAGCCCTTGGTGATGCTGCTGCTGGGCAGCTTCTGAGTCATCATAAATAATATTTACCAGGCACATCATCTTGTGGCACCCTCATGACTGCCCTGCCAGGTAGGCAGGACTTCTTATGGCCCAGTTGCAGTGTGGGCCAGTTGCCCCTTGATTCCTTAACAGGGTGTTGGAGAGAAACCCCCAGGGCTGCTGCCAAAGGGGTCTAGGCCTGTCTCACTAACCAGTTTGTGCAGTGAGGGCCACCTTCTTCAGAGCAGGCAGAAATGCGTGGACCGGAGCGCGGAAGTGCAGGGTGATGGTGAAGGGCTGCCCCCTCCTCACAAAGAGGCGCCGGGAGCTAAGGGCCTTGGTGTGGTGCTCCTCATTGTTTCTTGCTACCTGAAAGTCACAGCTCTTGATACCCAGGGCTGCTGTGGAAAAGAGAGAAGTCATGGAAACTAGGTAAATATGACAGCATAAGTACAAGCAGAGATTCTGGAGTCAGAGACCAGGGTTCAAATCCTCGGCTCCACTTATTTATTGGTGCAATCCCAGGCAAGTAACTTAACCACCCTGAGTCATGGTTTCCTTTTCCTTAGAAAAATCATCATCCCTCCTTCCAGAGTGGTGGGGATTTGATGATGTATAATACATTTAGCACAGTGTCAGATACATAGTAAGCCCCAATAAATGAAACTGTTATTGTTGTTATTATTAATAAGAACAATGCTTATTCTCATTGTTGGCCTCCTTTTTCTGGTCCCAATCCACAAACAGTGAATAAAACCCACAATCTTTCTCACCCCTATTCATTTTTTCTTAGAGCACAACCAGATAATTTTAAGAGCTGGTTTTGAGATCACTGAGTCAAATTCTCTTGCTTTATAGATGAGAAGAGTGAGGCTGAGTGTGGAACTGACTCACCTGAGACTATGCATGATGGCTCTTTGACCTAAAGTCTTATCATAAACTCACAGCACTATGCAGCCCAGAAAAACCCTTCAAGGAGGTGGCTCAAGAGTTTTACGAGTTTGTTAGTCAATTCTCATTTAACAGAGGTGATATCGTTTGGGTTTGTGTCCAGGCCCAAATATCAGGTTGAATTGTAATCCCCAGTGTTAAGGAGGGGCCTAGGAGGAAGTGATTGGATCATGGGGGTGGTTCCTAATGGTTTAGCACCATCCCCCTAGTGCTGCTTGTTTAAAAGTGTGTACCACCTCCCCCCTTCACTCTCTCTCTCTCTCTGTCTCCCATCAGCCGTGTGAAAATGTGCTTGCTTTCCCTTCCCCTTCTGCCATAATTGTAAGTTTCCTGAGGCTTTCCCAGGGGCAGAAGTTTGTACAGCCCACAGAACCATGAGCAGGTTAAACTACTTTTCTTTATAAATTACCCTGTCTCAGGTAGGTCTTTATAACAGTGTGAGAACAGATTAACATAAGAGGGAGGAAAAAAATGAGGAGTAGACAAGTCAAAAGATAAAGAACAATGCTGGAAAAAGAGGTTTAGGGTTTTTTTTTTTTTTTTTTTTTTTGCAGCAAGGGAATTGTGTACTTTTTGTTCCTTTGATGGCAGGCCATTGGGAATCTCCTTGGTCTGAAAGGCAGCCTGCAGTTTTTGCACTGGCTCAGCTGCCCTAAGAGAAGCTATAGCTTTTGCTCACAGGTATGAAATGAAGTCTAACCCACTTCAGAGAAGTGATATGACCCTGATGGCAATGTCCATTAGACTACAAGACATAACTTTTCAAATTCAGGATACTCCTACTTCAAATTTCCCTCAGTCCCCAGTCCCTCTGGCTTACAGCTGAAGAGTAGAGGGGAAGGATGTTCTACTTTTTCTTTCACTAGTGTTGTGGATGATAGAAGATGCCAATGATATCTATTAAGGACAAAAGAACTGAAGTGGTTGAATATGAAGAAATATGAAAGTGTGCAGAGGAGAGAAGATGCCAATGATATCTATTAAGGACAAAAGAACTGAAGTGGTTGAATATGAAGAAATATGAAAGTGTGCAGAGGAGAGAAGAAACCTCTGTCTCTCATCCTGGTGTCCTTGGGTGTCCCTTGCTTCCTTGCAACCCCCTCCTTATACTGGGCTTGGTCAGCCCATGGCTATAGATAAAGTAGCCACAGGGAGGCAGGGATTTGTAAATTGAAGTACAGCAGCACTCAGAAATCAGCAATGATTTCTCTTTCTGCTTAGCACAAAGCTTGTGCTGGGGCCCAGGATGAGTCTGCCGCTGCAGGCTGGTTGAGTTGGATTCATTCTAAGTCATATGACTTGAGCCTCAGTGTATCTGAACCCATGTAATGACTATAGTGTTACAGCAAAAATCACTAGAATTCATCTGGATTCTGGTTCTGTCTGGAAGCCTCCCGCCATCTCTTCTCTACCTGGCAGATGTCTACTCATTTTCCAAGATCCAAAAGCACCCACCTCTATAGCCTTCACTGACTCCTCCTGATAGAGGTCAGTCCTCTTTCTTCAGCACTTAACCCATTTGATACCCATCACCTACCTAGCCCTCTGCTCCCCATTTCACTGTGAGCTCCGGGAGGTACAGTGCTTTCCAATATCTGCATCCCCTGCCCCAGCAGAACTCAATAGATAGTCAATCAGTGTTTGCTCTGTCAATGAATGGATGAAAACATTGAGACAGCCTTAAAGGAGATTTTCTCAAATGCATCACAGGGGCCTCAGGCCCCCACCTGTGCCGCCAGACCCTCGCAGGGCCTCCGAGGTTTCTGCATTCTCTAGGTCTGCCTAGTTTCTTAGTTTATCTCTGCCTCTGCCCCTTTTAGGTGAATTCATTAACTCCTATCCCCACTTCTCTCCCACTGGGTCCTGAGGCAATGATACCTTCATGTTTTCCCAGCATCTGCTATTTGTACCACAGCCCATGAGAAGTTGTGTTAACACAGAGACCACATGGAATGCTCTTCAGAGGTGCACAGTACCCCACCCTCCTCAATCTCTGCCTTTCACAATGCCTCAGCGTTGCCTCAAATATGCCCCTTAAGCAGTTTTGTGTTTGATGACTGGCTGGAGGGAGGGGGGTGGTGAGGGAACAGTACAGAGTTACAGCATTTGCCAGAGTTCTGTGGTGTAAAATACTCCCCCTATGGCCAGTTAGAAGCTACTGAGGTGATGTTAGCAAGCACAGAGCTATGAAGAAGCACAGAGTGGCACATCATCATGTAGTTTTTCTACCATAGAGATACAGGAGACATAAACACCCTCAAGAACATAAAGGTAAAAAGAGGTAAATTACGTAGGAGGTGACAAGTTTAGAGTACTTATTATCTTGCTTTTTAGTATAGCTTTTTACTTGTAATTTTATACAATTTAATTTTTAATAATGCCTGTGTTTAAGAACTGGTTCACAAGATGCCTCAAAATTTAGCAATTGGCTCTTGCAAACCAGCACAAGCCAGCTCCAGCCACCGCAGAACGTCATGAGCTCATATTCACTGATTCTCATCTGGTGGCTACTGCACTGTCTGCCACCCACTGCCTGGAAAGGATTTAGCACCCACAGGGATTTGGGACTAAACAATCTCCTGATATCTTCAAATGTGTTTCTCTGATTGAGTAGATTTTTAATTTGTCTGGTCTCTACAGAATAAAAAGAATGATTTATTGGTGTCTGTCCTATTTTCCCAAGATGTGGCTGAGATGATTGACTGAATTCACCCAGAATTCTTTTTTCCCCCCTCAGGTGTTGGTCTTAGGGTCAGTTGCCCTCTGCACACCAGAATGGCCAACCAAGGCAGGGGAGTGAGGCAGTTTCTATAGCAACAGAACCACAGCTGCATCCCACTGTCCCCACACCTCCGCATCATCTCCCTCTGCCTACCCACTTCCTTCTCTCAGGACACAAGACAGCCAGGCAGTTCCCAGGCCAGGAGATAATAATTCCTGCCAAGAGTGCTGTGACTCTGACCACCTCTGCTGGTTTCTTGCTTTGTGCCTGCCTCTACCCCTATTAGGTGGATTCCCTGACTCCCACTTCTCCTTCTCTCCTATTTGGTCTAGAAGCTTTGGCACCTTCATGCTTCTCAGTGTGTTTCTCATTTGTATCAGTAAGCTGTGAACATTTATGCTATGATAACCTTAGGATAAGAATATAAACCCATGTTAAATTAACCACCATCACCATCTCACCATCATCATACAACTATCATGACAAGTTTACCCCAACATCCTACCCCATAACCACTCCATAGCAACATCACCATCACCTCCACCTCCACCAGCACCCATTATCACACCACACTCCACAACCACCCCACCATCGCCTCCACCTCCACCAGCACCCATTATCACACCACACTCCACAACCACCCCACCATCGCCTCCACCTCCACCAGCACCCATTATCACACCACACTCTATATCCACCCCACCATCACCTCCACCTCCACCAGCACCCATTACCACACTCCACTCCACAACTACCCCACCATATCTCCACCAGCACCCATACTCCACATCTACCCCACCATCGCCTCCACCTCCACCAGCACCCATTACCACACTCCACTCCACAACCACCCCACCATCACCTCCACCTCCACCGGCACCCATTATCACACCACACTCTACATCCACCCCACCATCACCTCCACCTCCACCGGCACCCATTATCACACCACACTCTACATCCACCCCACCATCACCTCCACCTCCACCAGCACCCATTACCACACTCCACTCCACAACCACCCCACCATCACCTCCATCTCCACTAGCACCCATTATCACATCACACCCTACATCCACCTCACTATCGCCTCTGCTTCCACCAGCACCCATTACCACACTCCACTCCACAACTACCCCACCATTATCTCCACCAGCACCCATTACCACACCACACTCCACAGCCACCTCACCATCACCATCCGCCTCCACTAGCACCCATTATCACACCACACCACAACCAGCTCACTATCACCTTCAGCAGCACCCACCTACCACACCCCCCCACAGCCACCTCACTATCACCAGTACCCCCACCCACCCCCATGGTTATACCACCATCTTTCTCCCCACCATCCATCCCACTTCCTTTAATGAAAACAGATAATGCTGTGGGGGCTGCAGACAGTCCAGCAAGCCCCGTGGAGCGCTGGCTTGGCTCACCCTGTCCCATGGCTGCAGGCTGCTCCTCTTATCCACTTGGCCGCAGGAAGCACCTGTCTTGAACTGTTGCTTCTGGGCTCCTTCTGTGCCTTCTCTCTTCCAGACAGAAAATGATGAATGCACTTTTGCTGGCTTAAGAGGCTGGAAATAGCAAAACTTCCTTCCACAACTCCTGTGACATACTGACAGGTTTCTTCTCTTCTACTCCCTCCCTGCTGGTATCTCCTGGACCAGTTGCTGGGAGTAACCCTGTTCATTTTATCTTTTGTGCCAGGAGGCCCAGGCAGGGATATGCCTGGCAGCCCTGGAGGAGGGGGGTGGGATGGAGAAGACCTGCCAACTGCAGAAGCCTAGAGGAAACCTTGAGGCCTATTGCTTCATGGCTTCAAGAGACTCTCAGAGATGTCATCTGGACTGCACTGGAAGACTCTGGAAGAGAGGATGCCACAAACAGGAGGCCCATATCCAACTCCAAATCTCAGGCCCTAAACATGTCAGGGGCTGCAAGTTGCTAGATGTTCATGGGCTGTTTTGATAATAGAGAGAACATGTGTGTCTGGAATTTATCTGTGTGAAAGAGATAAGGAAGTAGAATTCGTTGGTGAAAAATAAGTATCTTAAAAGTAGAAGCTGGGGCCCCAACTTTTCCAAGCCTACCTGGTCTGGGACACTCTGCCAGAGAAGGTTTGGAACTATCTTGGGACTCAGGTCCTACATCTTTTCAATTTTTCCTCCTTTAGTTCCTGAAGAGACAAGACAAGGATCTCATATTGGGCCTTACCTGGGCTTCTGAAACTGTGTTACCAGAAGCACTCATAGCATCTGTACTTGCCTGCATGTATATGAAATGTCTATAGAATGATATAAAACATACTGCAGAAAGTATTGGTTGCCTGTGGGGAGTGGATCTAGGCAGTGGGGTAGAAAGGTTATCTTTCTGCTGTTTACTCTTTTACACTTTTTAAACTTTGAACTTTTGAACTCATTTGAAGGATCTTATGTTAAAAAAAAATGAAACTTCTGCCTTTCACTCTCTCCCAAGAAAGATTCTTCATAAGAAATGAAGAAGTTAATTTTTCATTATTCAAAGATATCATTTTTACCTGGAAAACATGAATTTACTAACAACGATTATAAAAGGTAATTTAGTGAGCTGGCTAATACCAAAATTATAGGCACCAATAGTTTTCATACCTACAATCAATAACACATCAGAAAATGTAACTAAAGACCCAATCTATAATAGCAACAACAACAGAAGATAATATTTCTAGAAATAAACTTAAAAAATGTGAAGTGCTATCAGTAAATAGATTGGAAATGGTATGGAGGGACACCAAAAAAGACCTGAGCAAATAAAAAGGAAGATCACCATCTTGGGTAGGACAACTCAATATTATAAAGAAGTCATTTCTTCCCAAGTTGATCTTAAGTTTAATTCATTCCCAATAAAAACACCAAGAAGATTTTTTTTTGAAACTGATTCCAGGCTTCAAAAGGAAATTTCTAAGATAATAATAGAGTATGACCAGTCTTCCTAGATATGAACATATAATATGATAGTACTGCAGTTGAAAAGTCCATAGATCCAAATATATGCCTTAAATGTATGCTAAATGTGGCACTTAGAATCCATGAGAAAATGAAGGATTTGTCAGTAAATGGTTTGGGGACAATTAACTTGACAAAATACAGTTGGCTTCCTACCTTATGCCATACATTAAAATAAATTTCAGATGGATCAAAACTTTTATTAAATTCTTAAAGAAATAGAAGAAAAAATGAGACACTTCTTAACTTGGGAAAACCTTTTAAAATATTACACAAAACCCATAAGAAGCCATAAAGAAAATATTGAGAAATTTGATTCCTTAAAAATTTGAATCCTTAAAAAATTTTAAATGGAAAAGTTCACATAGTTAAAAGATACGCAACAAGTTGGGGAAAATATTTGAAACTCATATCATGAAGGCTTAATCTCCTTAATATAAAATATGCCTATAAATCAAGAATAACAAACTATTAGAAAAACGGATGAAGGATATGATAGACATCTCACAGAAAAGAAAATAAAAATGTCTCTCAAATCCATGGAGAGATGTCCAGCCTCACTTAATAAAAACGCAAAATAAAAACATCCTGAGATATCCTTCTTTCTTCACCTATTAGATTGGCAAAGATAAAAGAGTTTGACAACATTTTGAGTTGGTAATGATTTAGGAAAATAGTTACTCTCTTATAATACTAGTGGGAGTGCAAATTTAAATTGATGCAGCCTCAGCTGGGCGCAGTAGCTCACACCTGTCATCCCAGCACTTTGGGAGGCTGGTGAATCACTTGAGGTCAGGAGTTTGAGACCAGGCAGGCCAAAATGGTGAAACCCCATCTTGACTAAAAATACAGCAATTATCCAGACGAAGTGGTGGGCACCTGTAATCTCAGCTACTCGGGAGGCAGAGACATGGGAATTGCTTGAACCTGGTGGGTGGCGGAGGCAGTAGGCTGAGATTGTGCCACTGCATTCCAGCCTGGACAACAGAGCAATACTTTGTCTCAAAAAATTATAAATAAATAAATAAAAACTGATGCAGTGTCTCCAAATTGGTGCAGTCTCTACGGAGAGTGTTAGACTGGGTGGCTTAAACAATAGATATTTATGTTCTCACTCTTCTGTAGGCTAGAAGCTCAAGATCAAGGCCTTTAGGCTTGGTGTCTGGTGAAGGCTCTCTTCCTGGCTTGCAGGTGAATTCTCACACAGCCTCTTCTGTGTGTCTCCAGGGAAAGAGGAAGATCTCAGGTGTCTTCTCCTCTTCTAACAAGGACATTATTCCTGTTGGATTGTAGTCCATTCTCATGACCCCACTTCACCTTTACTACCTTCTTAGAGGTTCCATCTCCAAATACAGTCACATTGGGGGTTAAGGCTTCAACATATTATTTTTTGGGGAGGACAAAATTCAGTCCAGAACAGAGGGAAATTAAGTAGTTTCTACCAAAACTTTAAATGTCTATACTTTTGGCTGCTCTATCTATGGATTAGCCGTTCTTTTTATTCCTTTACTTTCTTAATACACTTGCTCTCAGTTAAAGAAAAAGTCTATAATTTAATTCAGTCATTCTGCTTCTGGATATTTATTATACAAATGATCCAACAGGTGTAAAATAAAATGTATACAAGTATATTCAGTGCATTGATATTTATAACCCCAAAAGACTGTGAGGAAATGTGTTCTCTTTCCGGGTCCACAAGGGGGCGTAGTTTTAAGGGCAAGAACTTCCCAGTGCCATGCACCCCTCCCATATCTCTCCATCCGGGAGATTTAACAGTTTTTGTTTAAATTTCGCGCCCGCGGGAAGAAACTAAGAGTCAATCGCCCCAGCGGAAGTTTAAACGAACTCCTTTCATTGGCCAGAGGAACTTGGGGAGGTGGGAATTTCTCCCAGGATAAATTCCCCTCCTCCTTCAGCCACACCGGATTTCCAGCTCTCTGGAATCCTCTGCAGCATAGTGGGACGTCTCGTTCCCTTCCTGGATCTCCCCTCTGGGGTCCCGCTTCCACACGCTTTTCGTGGAAGTTTTCTCTCTTCTTTTTCTCTTTCTTTACCTAAATAAGTCACTTTCTACAGATGCTTTTGAGTCTGGCATTTACTTTTATGCGTGGTCTCTTCTCCCATTCTTGGGGAGTAGTAGACCAAGAACCTGTAGAAACGTCCTCTCAGGGAAGCTGAGGCCTCCCCTGAACCCCAACAACTGGAAACTACCTAAACATTCATGCATAAGGTATTAGGTAGATAAATTATGGGACATGCATTCAATAAAATACATAAAGGTGAAAAATAATGAAGTAGTTCTATAAAGGATGTGGAACAATCTCCAAGCTTGATTTGTTTTGAGACAAGGTCTAACTCTGTCACCCAGGCTAGAGTGCAGTGGCGCAATCATGGCTCACTGCAGCCTCAACCTTCTGGGCTCAAGTGATCCTCCCACTTCAGCCTCCAAAGTAGCTGGGACTACAGGCATAGGCCAGTACACCTGGCTAATTTTTTATTTTTTGTAGAGATGGGGTCCCCCTATGTTTCCCAGGCTGGTCTTGAACTCCGGAGCTCAAGTGATCCTCCAGCCTTGGCCTCCCAAAGTGTTGGGATTACAGGCATGAGCCACCGCGCTCAGCCCAAGCTGTACTGATAAACGGAATAAGTGAGGTAGAGAACAAACTGAATATATGCTATCTTTGAGTAAAGGGTATGTGTGGGGGGAGAATATATATGAATTTGCTTGTGTTTATATGGACTATTTCTGGGAAATTACTTCTTCTAGATAGAGAAACTCAGTGCCTAGGCTTTTTTCTATATGTCCTTTGTATCTTTGTACCATGAACATATATTTATGTGTTAATATTTTTAAAGTAACAAAAACTTTCAAGGGAAAGAAAAGTCTGGCTGAAAGAACTTTTTTCACCACAGACAGCCCCCTACCCGGGAGGGCAATGGGGAGGTTGTGGGCTGGTTTCCCTTTGGGGAATGGGTTCTCCTTTTGGATCAAGCAAAGGGAATCTTCTCTTTCCTGGTTCAGTTCCCATTTGAGCGTCACAGAGATCCAGTCTCTGGCAGTATTTCAGTCAGGGCACTTTTTGAGGAGCCCAAAATGAGACACACGCTGCTGCGTTTTGGTTGAGCTGGGGAAAAGCGAGTGGGAGATGTGAGGAGGATGGAGGGAGGGGTCACCAGAAAGGTCTGTCCCACGGCACCAACACCTTTCTACTCCCCAGCCTCCGGCAGAAAAACAACAGTTCAGGTGGTGTAGACTCAAGAACTATCCACTTATTCATTTCTGAAACAAATACTTGATGAGCACTGTCATACACTAGGAACTGTGCTAGGTACCGGCAGGTACTGTTAGAAACTGTTAGGTAGACATAGTGCCCCAAAAAAGGCGGGAGTGAGTGGAGCAGCAACGGCGGCGGCTCCCAACCTCCCCTTCCCCTCCCCTAATTCCCCTTCCCTTTCTTAAACCCGCCCCGCCAGGTACTCGGCGAGCAGTCGCGGCGCTCCCAAACCACCGCATGCACTTGGCCAATCGTCCCCAACCGCCGCCTGCGCGCGGCTTCCGGGCCCCCTCGCTCCTCCCCTCAGGCCTCAGAGCGCCAGGGGTGCTTCCTTCCCGCCGCCTCGCACTCCCACCTCGCAGTCACGCTGGTGGGCTATGCCTGGCCCCAGCCACAGGCTGCTCACGGGCTTAGACGCTGCGGCCCGAGATGGGGGCCCCTGAGCCTCCCTGAGAAAGAGAGAAGCCGAGAGCCGCGCGCTCCGCCCCCTCCCCCGGGCCGCCACCGCCCCAGCCTGGCGGGAGAAGGAGGAGCTGCAGGCCTCCGGAGCCCGGCGCCGCGGCCCGCAGGCTCAGTAAATAAGACGTTACTGAGGGGTTGCCTACACTTCAAAGCACGTCTACTAGTAATGCTCCTGCGGGGGATGGTGATCTACCGGAAAATGTTCAGTATCCCTACCAACTCTACATTACTCCTGCTACCTGCAGTACAGAACGACCAAGTCCAAGTGGTCCAGACAGACCTTTTCAATGTCCAGCCTGCTGGGTGCGATTCACCCGTATTCAGAACTTAAAGCAGCACATGTCCATCCACTCAGGAATTAAACCATTTCAGTGTGACCGCTGTGGGAAAAAGTTCACCAGGGCTTACTCGCTTAAGATGCATCGCCTAAAGCATGAAGTGATTTACTGGTGCCGGAATACTTAAAACAAGGAACGAGAAGAGACCTTTGTTCAAAATGATCTTGGAGAACACCGTTTCGAAAACAACCCATCTGTTCAAATGCCTGTAATTTCATAGGTCTCCTCGACCCAGAATTGTGAAAGCACTTTTCCCTTGGGGTCTCTTGGTGGACAGGCAGAAAAAGGAAGACGTGCCCAAACTAGAGATGAACTCCCCCCCCCCCAAAATCAGAGCTGTATTCTATAACTATTGAGTAATTTTGTGATTTGGCTTCATTTTTGTTTTTTGGAAATTGCCTGTGTTTGGTCTTGTACATTTAAATTTAATTTTTTAAACAAAAAAAGCCAGGCGGTGGGGGAGGGGGAGATTGGGAAAGAATTTCCCTTTTTACTTTCTGAGCCCAGAAACTGATTTTATTTTTCATAACTGAGAGATTACTTATGTAAGTACACAATAACATGACGTCGAAACAAACTATGAGACTTAGGAGAACTGGTTGACTTAAAACATATACCAGTTTCTTTTTCCATTGTTAAAAGTAGGCTAACAACAGATCATTAGCTAGAGAGGAAATCAGATGCTTATTGACCTTCTTGAGATGAAAGTGTACACAAGAAACTAATTACTAAAATAGTCTGACAAATGGCCTGAGTAATACTTACTGCTATACACAAGACGTGTATAATATTTTGTAAAGCCTGTTGTTTTTGTAAGTATTTACGGCAAGCTTTCTTAAAAATAATTAGGATAAATACTTCTGAAATCTGGCCTTCCTTTTTTTTTTTAAGCTTTGTCATTTCTATTCTGATTTTTCCTGGTGAAATTCTGGTACTGAGATGGGCATTCTCTGTACCTTTATAATACCACTCCAAAGGCAAAGAAGCATGATTGACAACAGTCAAGCTGTGGATGAAATGACCAGGAATGGAAAATGAAGTATGTAAATCCCACTTCACAGGAACTCTTCTCATATTGTTTTTCTGACTAAAATAGCTGTTTACCTGGTCTGAATGTTAATGCCTAAGTCATTGCCCAAATAGTTTTCCCCTGGCCCCATCAATATGTTCTCTTGCATATATTGGCATGCTCCCATATAAAGTAAAAATATTGGAGATATTCTTTTTTTTTTTGTTTTGAGACAGAGTTTCGCTGTTGTTACCCAGACTGGAGTGCAACGGCATGATCTTAGCTCACCGCAACCTCCGCCTCCTGGGTTCAAGCAATTCTTCTGCCTCAGTCTCCCGAGTAGCTGGGACTACAGGCGTGCACCACCATGCCCAGCTAATTTTTGTATTTTTAGTAGAGAGGGGTTTCACCATGTTGACCAGGATGGTTTCGATCTCTTGACCTCGTGATCCACCCACCTTGGCCTCCCAAAGTGCTGGGGTTATAGGCGTGAGCCACTGATATTCTATATTTTATATAAAGGTTTATGTATTGTTGGGGATGTTTTCGTTGTGCTCTTTTGGACATAATAAAGAATTCTCTGTTGAGGCAAAAAAAAGAAAAAGAAAAAGAAAAGAAAAGAAACTGTGGTAGGTACTGTTAGGAACTGTTAGGAACCGTATTAGGTACTGGTAATATAGCAGTAAATTAGATAGATGCGTCCCTGGCACCAAGGAGCTTCTATTCCAGCAGGGGGAGACAGACAGTACTAAGTGCATACACCATTAGCTGTTTCTCTGCCAAGTGTGCTAAATGCTGTGAAAGAAGTTTGAGTGCTCTCAGACCTAGGTGTGGAAGGTCAGGGTAGACTTCTCTTAGAAGGTGATATTTAAGGCTGAGAAACTAGCAGGATAAATAGGAGTTAACTAAGTAATAGGACGTGGGTTGGCATGAGAGGAGAGAGCACAGCATGTGCACAGGCTCTAAAGCAGGAAGCAACTGAAAGGTCAGTGGGCCTGCATCACAAAGAGAGATGGGAAGAGGTAAGGCAAAGGCTAAATCTTGCAGAATTGAGTTGAGAATTTTGGATTTTATCCTCAGAGCAGTGGGAAGCCATTGAATGATATTTGAAGCAAGGGAGTAAAACAATCAGATTTGCATTTTTAAAATACTGGCTAATATCAGGGAAATGATTTACAGGGGGCAAAAAGGGAAGACAAATGACCAATAAGAGACTATGGTAATGGCTTAGGTGAAACATGATGTTGGTCTACTCTGGAGGTGGTTAGTAAAGATAGACATAGGCCAGACACAGTGGCTCACACCTCTTCCCAGGACTTCAGGAGGCCGAGACAGGCTGATCTCCTGAGGTCAAGAGTTCAAGAACAGCCTGGCCAACATGGCAAAACCCTGTCTCTACTAAAAATACAAAAATTAGCCAGGTGTGGTGGCCTGTACCTGTAATCCCAGCTTCTTGGGAGGCTGAGGCAGGAAAATCGCTTGAACCTAGGAGACAGAGGTTGCAGTGAGCCGAGATCACCCATTGCACTCCAGCCTGGGCTACAGAGAGAGACTCCACCTCAAAAAAAAAAAAAAAAAATAGACATGAACAGATTTGATGGAGATTAGGAGGTTAAGTGAATATGACATGCTAATGGACAGGATATGGAATACAGAGAAGAAAAGATAGTCAACATGACTCCCAGGTTCAAATAAGTTAATTATGCTGGCACATTGCTTTACAAAACACTTTTGCCTACATTATCTTGTATGAGCTGAACCTCAATCTTGTAAACTACATTAAGGGATCATTATTCCAATTTTATTGAAGAGAAAATAGGTTCAGAGAGTTAACATTTCTTTTACTGAATGTAAGATCAATTAATAAACTGTCTCTGTCCAGAAAGAATTTAAGACTAACAGTGAAACATGGTATTGCAGAGGAGCATATTAAAACAATTCAGATGATGAAAGAATAGAGATGGAACCCAAACAGAGCCAAGGAGGTGGCTAAAGGTACCCACTATAGCCTACCTATGCACATGCTTTCCATACACTAGAAACTTACCTCTAAGTTCCAGGAGGGAGGCTTTTCCAATATGTCACAGCTTATGGTAAAGCATAGACTCAAACTGAGGTCTTCCAACTCAAACCCCATACATTTGATTTCACATTAGCTTTAATCCAAACCACCGCTGAGAAGGTCTCTCTATTAAACCTTCTTTTACAATCTCTCAAGAATTTCTGTATCTAAATACAGCAGACTAGTTTGTTACCATCCCCTCTGTTGGGAACAATTAGTATAGTTGAATGAAATGTTTTAAATGTCTGTTTGAAGGCATCAAGGCAGTCCTCACTGATCCCTTGAAGGATCAAGATCTTGGGGATAAGAAGAACAGAGAGAGCGAACTTGATACTGGCTCCCACTCTTCTATCTGGGTCATTTGCCCATTTGTAACCAGCAGATGAGAGCCTGAGAATCTGGCAGTCTTGCAGGGTTTGAGTTCAAGGGTCATCAAGGATGAGGGGCCCCAATAAACACCCCAGGCTTTCCAGTGAGACCGCAGAAGGGCTATGCCCCAGGAGTTGAGATAAGCAGGAAATAGACTAATCCTTATAAAAAGCTGAAGCCCAGTTTTAAATCAATCTCCATTATGGTGTTCTGTCCCTATCCTAACTTCCTACCAGAAAGAAAATTCTGTGGAGGATATTAGTGTTATCCAGAGTCTGACATTATCTATGATCACAGTGCTCTTTCTTGCATTCCCACAGATTCATTCAGCATCCCAGCTCAGACCTTCTGCTAACACTTGCTATGCCAGGCACATGGCCTGCCTCCCCACAGGAAGCTTCAGGCTCTCAGGGAGTCTGAAGCCAAGTCCATCCTCTAAGGTTGGAGGAAAGCTGGATATGTCTGAGATCAGCACTCTGCAATCAAATTCTTTTTGTCTGTACTCCTCAAAAAGCAGCAGCCCCAAAGCTGGCACCAAGTGGTTCCTGGATACTGGAAAGTCAGGTCTCAGGAACAGGTAGAGAGAGGTAGTACCAGCTGCACATTGGTTAGTTGGCTGCTGGTCAGTGGGCAAGTAGCGAGGAAGAAAAACTGGACAGTGGGCCTTGGAGGGCCAGGGACTAAAGGAGGAGCAGGCTCTGGGAAACAAAGTGTAGCTCTTGCTGCTGCCTGCCCTTTCCACACAGCCAGCTCCCACCTCTTCAGTTATTACCAAGCTGGGGTCAATAAGAGCTTCTGACACTTCCTTGAACTTCAGGCTAACTTAGGACACTAACAAAGACACCTAAAGGTGAACTGAGGACAGACCTCTGGGAGTACTGGGCAGTGTGACATGGTGGGAATTTGGAATCAGACAGACTT